TTTTGTTACTTTTATTGTTTTCCTAAAAAAAATTCCCAAAGTTATTTTTAGGCGGTCAAGGTGGTGTGACCCCTTAAATAAAATTTTTAAGTTTTTATTTTACCCTTTTAAATTTTTTCGTTTCTTTGGCCCATCTTATATAAAAAAGTACATATTACTATGCTTCACTGTAATATAATTGTAATATAACGTAGAACAATTTTGGAAAATTTCAGGGAAGACATAGAGAAAGAACACGTGGATTTACGACTCTTTACGACGGCAGTTGGTCTAGCTACGATATTGATAAAGATTTTTCAGTTGCGACCAGTATGGATCGATCGAGTACCTACCTTTGTTGCAAAAGACAAATCCAATATCAAAACACGGCTGCTTACTGGAAAATCGCGTAAAATGACGATCAGAGGACATCATTTTGTAGCGCATCAATATTTTACAATAACTTACTGCAATCATTGTCATCTTATTATAGGCGGTATTGGTCCTCAAGGATATTTATGCAGTGGTACGTAAAATATATAATATATAAAAAACTTCCAAGAATTTTCTTAGGTAAAAATAGAAATTTCGATTGAAAATTAATTTTCATAAATGACAATAATTTAAGTGGAAAAGTTATAGTTGATTAAAAGATGTAGTCGATTATATTAATAATATTAAAAATATGTATTATTATTATTATACATGTTTTTTATTATAATTATTAATTATCTTTACAAATTATTAAAATTTTGAAATGATTATGTATTATATGTATATAAGTTAATAATATTAAACTTTAAATTAAAGAATTGTGATTTAAAAAATTCTTTTTATTATGACTTTTGTTTTCTTATATCATATGATTTTTGGTTTATTTGAATTATTTATTGTTTTATACTATAATTTCACAAAATGATTGCGTTTATATATAATAGAAAGCACTAAAAATTTTAATAAGCGCTTAGTGATTCTTCTAAAATAATTGATTTTTTAATTTCTCGCTATATTTGAATGTATAAATCAAATATAAATAAATATTAAAAGAATTATTAAGCACTACTATTTGTAAGATACTTTTTTTGCTGAACGCAGCTATGATAACAAAATTATATTTGCAAACAAAATATAATTATTTATATTAATAATTATAAATATTTATAAACAATATTATATTGTTTTCTAATTGACAGATTGTTCCCTCAACGTACATCGACAATGTGTTCGTGTAGTAGAAGAAAATTGTCCTGGTCCTTTAGTGCGAAAAGAAAGAGCCAATGATAGGATCAGTAAATTGATGGAACGTATTCGACCAGAGAGAAAACCTCCATCATCCCATCATCATTCCCAGAACCATACATCGCATCGTAAGTTTGGCTTTTAACATTTTGCAAATTGTATTATAATATTTCTTTATTAAATACTAATTACGGATATAAATAACTAGATTTTTAATTATTTAGTTTTTAATATTATGGAATTTGACGTGAAAAATCGTTTATTTACGGGGGTATTCTAGTCTAGAGGCCAAATTTTTATGCTATTTTTGCGAATTTTTTTAAAAGAAAGTATAAAGTTTTTTGAGACGAGATTTTTTCCTACATATTTATA